TTATTTTCCTCTTGCAGCCAAGGCACTTTATCCATTTGAGGTGTTATTTTATTTATTTATTTATTTTTTTGCTCCTTTGGCCTAGTCTACAATAGTCAGCCCTACTCTTAGGTTTTTGTGCCATTCCCTGCTCCTTTCACTCTGAGCTTGAGAAATCCATCTCTCTCTGTGTCTCATTGCAACCCCTGGGCATGACACACTCTCATCCAGGGTCTTTTTCTAAGATCTTATCATAGAGTTCTTGGAACCCCTATGTTCTCACTGTAGGACTTTGGCTATCAAGGGGGCAGCATTAGTGGTCCAAATGTGGAATGTGTGTGGATGTACATGTGTATACATGTGTGTGCATGTATGTGTGTCTGTGTGTATGTGTGTAAGGTATGGGGCTCCAATGAGGATGAGGGGCCATGTTTATGTTGCCAGATAACCACTCTCTGCATCCACACTACATGCTTATATGCAGAATGCAGTGGGCCTGAAGGATGGGATGGGGTGGGAAAGGTAATATTCCCAGTGGAAGACATGCCTTCACGTAGACACAGAATTTCCAATGAAGATACTCCTATGGGAATGATACATCGCACTGTTGGGAGTTTGTCTTCCTGTGGGAAAAGACTTGTTACCTTTTATGCCTTTCTGAATTCTGCATGAAGATCTCTGAGAATGCTGAGTTGCTGGAAAGCTACTTTTGTCTTTTTGTTTCTCATATGGAGGATTTTTTTTTTTTTTGCTTCTTATATGAAAGAATTACTAGTTATTTGTTATTACTTAATATCATAATTTTCATTAAATTTAAGCCTAACACAAAGCACATCAGCACATTTCCTCTGCCCCCAGACTGACAGTCTCAGAGCGCTACCTGACTCTTTGTTCATAAGGCCACCCGTCACTCCCCTAGACAACCTCCTGATATGTTTCTACCTATTCTTCCCTCAAGGTCCAGCTCAATAAGCCTTTTCCAGAAATCAGAATCTCTTTTCCCCCTGACTGTCCCCAACATTTCTCTGTTCTTCAATTTGTTTCTCATATAGATGGTACCAACATCTTGGCTCTCAACAACTGTAGAATCTTCTCATGGGACTCAGTGTTCCCATAAATGTCTCTAGAACTCCTCATACTCCTTGCCACAAGTTAATTCAAATTTTTTCTTCTCCTGTGATCTCTTACTTTATTGTGTCCCATTCTAATATAACCTTTGGATTGCCATTCACTCCACCATACTGCTTCTTTAAAAATTAATAATAGAAAAGTCACTTTGTAAAGGGGCCCTGTTTTCTCTTTCAGTAACATAGTAAATAGTTCTGCATTAGAAGATGTAACACCTAGGCCTCTGGTAACCACCATTTAGGAGAGGATGGGAGGGGGGAGAAATGGGGAATGACTACCAATGGTTATGGAATTTCTATATTGGATGATGAAATGTTCTAAAATTGATTGTGGTGATGATTGCACAGCTCTGTGAACACACTAAAAACTATTGGATTGTACATTTCAAATGGGTGAATTGTATGATATGTGAATTATATCTCAATTCATCTATTAAGAAAAGAGTATAAACAATAACTTAACACAAATTTATCGAGTCATTATGAAGTGTCAGATACCACAGGTTGAGCTTCCTAATTTGAAAATCCAAAATGTGAAATGCTCCAAAATTTGAAACTTTCTGGGGTGCCACAAGAGGAAAATCCCACATCTGACCTCTTGTGATGAGTCATAGTCAAAACCCGGTTAAAACTTTGTTTCATACACAAAATTATTAAAAATATTGTATAAAATTACATTCAGAATATGTGTATAAGGTATATATGAGACATAAATGAATTTCCTATTTAGACTTGGGTCCTATCCCCAAGATATCTGATTATATATATGCAAATAACCCAAAATCCAAAAAAAAAGTCTGAAATCTGAAACACTTCTGGTCCCTAGCATTTCGGATAAGGGATGTTCAACCTGTATATGAAAGACTTTGCAAACATGAGCACATCAATCTCTCCATGCACTCTAAATGGTGGAATTAATATTACCCTCATTTCACAGATGACAAAACCAAAGTTCAGATGTGGCCAACCACTTGCCTAAGGTCATTCCACTAGAGAATCTTAGATCTGGACTCCAAGTCAATCTGCCTAACACCAGAGTTCACACACTTAACCCTGTGGCTGTACTGTTTCTTCAAACTTCTCTGTCATCCTACAGTACACTGAGAGAAATATCATATGAGGATGTTATACCCAAAGGAAACTGTATTTTAGTCATTCTTCAGCATATTTACTTAATAGTCATTCAGTGAATATTTTCTGAGCATTTGTTATATATCATATGATATTCTAAGCACTGAGGATATAACATCTAGAATATCTAAGCAATTATACGTTTTCATTCAACAGAATTTCTTAGAGAGTGGAATG